AGTAAAAAGACTTTCATATTCGCGATAAAACGCGAAAGGAATATTGAGCAGAATATTTTCGAAACCATTTGAGATATCGGGAAACGCTTCTATATATCTTTATGAATCTTTTTTTTTTTTTTTTTTTTCAAATATCGGAAAATGTGTTTCTATATCTCTTTACGAAACTTTTTTTTTTTTTTTTTTATAAATTTTCATCTTTTCTCTCCAATTGTAGGCATATATTGACAGATATATATCTACTTATCTCTCTGAAAATTGTTAACACATATTCCATTTAACACAACATATGAATATTAATAACCGTTTGAAAGTTTTTTTTTTACAAGTTTTATTTTACATACAATAAATTTTATTTGATATGTATTTTCCTCTCTCTCTCTCTCTCTCTCTCTCTCTCTCTCTCTTTTTCTCTTTTTTTCGAGTTGTGTGTAAGCATGAATAATGAACTGTGTGCAACAAAAATGGGGAAACAATATTTTCATTTTCGTTTACTTTTACTTTTATTATTTGCATTTATCTTTTTCAATAGGTAGAACTGATGAGGAATAGCTTATTTCTCTCGCGCACATTTTTAGATCTAATATTATTCATATTGCACGTATAAATAAGTCTTAAAATACCGCAGCCGCATTTAGCGTCTGCACGGGGAATACGGGTCAAAGAAATGGCGCGAATGCACGTTCAATACGTTCGGATGTGCGAAGTGATTCTGATATAAAATGCCAGTAAGAATAGGGGATGAAGGAAGGCGTGACCGTGCGCGCATTTGTATCAAGCGTAATAATAACTTTCGTGGGAAGATAGCAATTTGGGTTCTATCAACAAACATTCGTAAATATAATTGTTGAATTAAACGAGGATATGTCGCGTCGTGTTCTAAAATATACACACGCGACGTAATATACGGCAAATGGAACACTACGAAGCGGATGGAAGATGAAGAGCGCGAAGTTATGTTCGATACATCCGTATCGGATGAGGCGTCCGTTTCGCGCGGACCCAGCAACAGGACAGACAAAGAGCGGCGGGGTGGCGGATGGATAGATTGACAGAGAAAGACGGACGAAATGCATACACACGAGAGTGCAGAGAGCGAAGAGAGGGAGAGGGAGAACGTGGGACGCCTTCTCTTTTTTTTTTTTTTCGCAGCATCCCCCGCGTCTCTTCTCCATTTCTGCACTCCGTTCAGCACCCTCTGACGAGTCGACCTCGCACCGCCAGTGTCAGTATCGACTGGGATACCTCGTGGAGAGAGAACAACGGTGGAGAAGACAGGAGGGAGACAGGGTTGCTGAACACACAGAGAAACGAAGAGAGAAGGGGAGAGAAAGAGAGAGAGAGAGAGAAGGAGAGACACGGCGGCTCGCCGATTCTCGGCAAATCTCGTGTTCAGTGCCGTACGTGAATATCCGCCTTTTCCACTGAGAACGGTAACGCTGCGTGAACAACTTTTTGACGTATAATCGTCTCATTAATCATCTCTCTGAATTCCCGTCACTTTGATGAGTTGGTATCAACAATGGCGTGGCGCGGCCGAGCAGCGTATATCTGGAAATTTCCTGTTTCTGATCCGCGCGCAACGCATAGGGGTGAACGGGAAGGGAGGATTAATATACGGCGGTACTACTACTTTTCGTGCCTCGACTGTGCACAAAGGATTTTATTTCGTAATACCGCCGCGGCTTGGAGCAAAAGTTCCAACAGTCGGGGGGGGGGTGGGGGGCTTATCGACTGGCGGGATCTTTCATCGGGAATGTGCAATTCGAGAATTCTCTTCTGTTTAAGAGATTGAAGAGTCGCGCTATTTTCGCCGTGAAAACATACACGAGCGAGCGACGAAAAGCCAGTAATCAAGTAATGGAACCTCTCGGATCCTGCGTGAAGCAAAATGTTACGCGAGTGAGATTCCGTTCGCTCGTTGAATTGTTGCAACCGTTTCGCATCGCACGGCATTTGACGGCAATAATTTCACGCGGAAACACGCCGCAAGAAACAGCGGCGTGATCTCAATTGAACGTTATTTCTTAATAAATTCGCTCGATTAATAAACACGATCTTTCGAGTTTATTATTATTTACACATAAATAGCAACAAAAGAAATTTATATGAAATAAAAACTTTGGACAACAAATATTCCGGATAATTGCGAGAACAAATTTTCTTTTTCCAATTAGAAAGAGTTTGTTTCGCGTGTTATAAATAAATAAACTTATTTTCTCGCCCCCGACACTTTTTTCCTCGTCTAAAGCGTTTTTTTTTTCCTTAAAGCGGAGATTCGGCATTGAGATCACGTAGAATTAAACAAACGCGATGAAGAAACGGAATGAAGTGGTCGGCTAACGCGTCGATGTCGAAACGGGGGGGCTACTTTCAAGTTCGGGGGGGTTGATGATGATTGCGCGAGCGTCATTACATCACAAACCTGATCGACGACGCCTAAAAAGAAGGATACGCGATCTCGCGATATGCGCGAACGCGATCTTGTATTTATTGCGGCAAGATGCAAGGGATGATGAAAGTGGCACGGGCGGGCGTACGTCCCTGTCGGCGCGTCACCGCCTCGAGGTTTCCACATGGTCTCGCGTTACATCGAGGGCGAATCGTGCAAGCTCGGTGCATCTCGAGCGTTCCCGTAGCCGGTCCTGTCGGTGCTGCCACATGGCAGCGCGTCGTGTTTTGCGGGCTTGGCGAGCTTTCAGGGGCGGCACCTGCGTGGTAGGGCGATCGGCGGATCTCTCTCTTTTTCTCTTTCTCTCTCTCTCTCTCTCTCTCTCTCTCTGTCTCTCTCGTTTGCTGTGCCGAGACGAAGAGAGACGGACGGGGGTGGCGCGGCTCGGCTAGGTTCGGTCGACTTCGCAAGTCATCGCCGACATCTCGCGTCGAGGCTTACACATGGGTTGGTATTGGCTCCCGGGGCGCAGGGTGGCTGTGCGGCGGGGCTCTAAGCGGAGAGAGATTCTAAGCGTAGAGAACGAGGCGGCATAGGCCAGAAGCGAGAGAGGAAGAGAGAGAGAGAGAGAGAGGCAAGAAAGAGAGAACGGTGACGGAAGCGAGAGAGGATGTCCGACGGGCAGTAGAAGAGCTAGTAAGAGAGAGATCCGCCGAGAGAGAGGGTGAGAGAGAAGGAGAAAAGAAGAGAGAGAGAGAGGCGCGCACAGCTCTCGCCACAACACCCCCCGAAACGGGCAGAGCGTCAGTGCTAAGGTGGGTTGCTCGGTCGGAACATTGCCAGAGAGAGAGACACGTTCTGGGAGTGCCTGCCTGTGCTGCACCGATACGTCCGCCTGGTGCAGGATCCGCAGCGGTGCAAGGATCGGGAGAGAACGCGCGCACCGGAAGAGTGACTGACTGAGTGAAACGTACACACAGACACACGCATGCAATCACGCACACGCATAGTTACACGGGACGCAACATAGACGCAACGGTATCGAAGGAAGGGAAGAAACGAGAGGTAGTAGAGTTGCGGTGAAACTGGAGAGAAAAGCGTGGAAACCAAAACGACTCTCCGCGGGTGGAAAATAGTGGTTGCGCCGTATGTCAAGCCAGGCAAGAGAAGCCGCGGGAGGCGATGTAAGCTGAGCGCGGCGGTGGCTCGTGCAAGTTCGCAGCGAGCGGAGGGTTCGAAACAACATTCGGAATCATGAAAGAAGAGATCGAGCGATATCCGATGTTCACCAAGTTGCTACGTAGAGGCAGATTAGTGGCGTTTCGTTTAATCGGATAAATGATCGGATTACGCAAGCTGAGCGAGAGAAGGAACGAGACGAGATAGGCAGATAAAAGGTGGATAAAAACGAAACAGAGAGAGGGTGAAAATAGAGAGAGAGAGAGAGAGAGAGTAGACAGGAGAGAAAGGTGTGTCGAGGAGAACGAAAGTCCGTAGGAGGTCAGCGTGGCTTCAGGGTGGCGGTGGCCAGTGGTGATGGTTGTAGTGGTGGTAGTGGTGTAGTGGTGGGTGCTCTCTAGGTGAATGATCGTCGTCGGCCTCGTGAAAGAGGCGGCCGCCGCTTATGCGGGCTGCCGCGTGTGCCGCATCGTCGCTCGCAGATAACTGGAATCCGCCGTCGAGGGCGGTTAGAACGAGAAGAATCGAGGGACGGGGTTGGTGGCGGCGGAAGGGAGTCGTCGTCGGCGTGCGCGCGATCGGCACGACCGATCGTAGTACGGTAGTGTTAGTGCCGGTGGTGGTTGTCGGATCGGACTGTCGGGTGGAACAAGCGATCATCGGCGCAGCAGCACCAGGAGGCCGTAGCAGTCCGCAGTCGTCGACCTGGCGGCTGGCAGGAGCCGCTGGATTACGTGGGGTATGGCAATCTGGCCCGCGTTACGGATATCTCGTCCAACGAGCATGACGAAGGGACCGAGGAGGTCGCGCGCGAGCCCGACTATCGTGATGCCGATGATCGCTGCGAGTAAGATTGCCAGCACGAGGAACACGCAGCTGCCGAGCAAGAATCCGACGACGATGATGATGACGACGACGAAGATAACGACGCCCGCGCTGAGCAAGATGCCGCTGCTGACGACAATGTCGATGGTCCTGGCGACGTTGACGACGATGTTGAAGATGGCAGTTGCGCTCGTCCCCGCTGTTGTCGCTGCCCCCGGAAGTTCCTCGTTCCTCGGGCCGTCGAAGCCCTGGTAGCGGAGGCAACGGTCGCGTGTCTCCTCCACAATTGTTAGAAAGCAGTGCTGTTGTGTTGCCGTCCGGATCTCTTCCTCTCGGGGCTATATATATCCATCGGTTGTGCGTCTGGTGGGTGCTCTGGTGTGGTGGGTGCGCCGTCTACCGATCCCTCGTGTTACGGGTTACTGCTGCCGGCCGGCCGGCCGTTTGCCTACGCGCGTACCCGCAGTGCGGTCGACCGCCGGGTGACTTAGTCGGAGACCGTTGCCCGGTTGACAAGGGCGCGCGCGTCAAACGACAGTTGTTAAACGACGTACGCGACGGCGACGAGGACGACAACGACGACGACGACGACGGCGGCGCGGACGAGGACAACAACAATAACAACAACAACAACGACGACCACGTCGGGGATATGTGCGGGTGCGCTACGTCCACGCGGCGAGGACTGGGGACTGCTGCGGGTAAATCGGCACGGCGCGCCAAGTCCTCGTGTTCGGTGCATAGGACGCCCGGGATACGGTAGCTCGTCCTTCAGCGTTACTCCTCATCGACGCCCGCGGGCAATGTGCCCACCCGCCGGGATAGCAACGTGAGTATACTTTTTATTAACCGCCCGTCTCCCTTCGTATAGGGTCGCGCGACTTGGAAATGGCCGGTCGCGGCGGTTGCGTACGTTGCCCTTTTTGCTACGCGCGAGAACGCGTCCGACTTGACGCTGACCATAACTACTTAACTCTGGTTTTTTTTCGGTTTTCTGTGTATATTTTCGGGTTATTGATTAGAAGGGTTCAATAACTGTCAAGTAACACTTCGAGTATTGTTTATTGGATATTTAGTTAATTTGAGGAACTCTAAAACAATCATTCAAAATATTAAATAACAGTGATATTTATATTTGTCAATTTATCAGTTTTAACAACAATATAATGAAACAATAGAGGAGTAAGATTTATATTTGCCAATTTGTTATAGCGAACTTGTTTTTAAATTTTTCCAACATTTTTTCTCCAGACGTATTTTAAAAAAAGATTTGCTTCAAGATGTTTTTTTATATTGTCTTTGTCAATATTGAGTTTAATATTTAACGCTTGAGAAATCTTTGAATTTTATGTCGGGGAAAAATTGTGGACACTAACTAGATTTTCATAACTCGCAAAACTATTTTGCAATTTAAACTTTAACGTTTTGATATTTTTCGACATTTTCTATCTTGAAAGAAAAATTTCTTTAAAGAAAAAAATCTTTCGGAACGTCTGGCGTTCCTCAAATACTTCGAAGAAACTGCTTTCGGAACATTTGACCAAACAAGGTTAGCGTAAATCATTATTATTTTAATCGGTGCCATTTTAAGCCGCGTTCTTTTTACGTATTTTTATCCCCCGTTAAGATTCAAAAACACGTCACACACGTCTTGAAAGAGAACCGCTTTGCGGTCAGGTTATAACTCGATTATCAATTATTTAACGCTCTTCTGATTTCAATTGGAACGCCAGACGAGATCTCTGTATGTTTCACTTACTTAGCGACTTCGCGAGCAACTCGCGTGAAAAAAAATGAACGATCGATCGATCGAGCTCAGCCCCTCTAGTTAAATACAAGCCGAGGCTATTTCGCCGCGACGCCCGCGTCCTTACTCGAAGCGAAGGATAAATTGCCTCTTTTCCCCGAACTTTTCTCCAGGAAAAGCCACCCGAATGCTCCTACGGAGTCGTGCGAAAACGTCGGAGTGCTTTCAAAGGGGCGGAGAGAGGGTCTGGGCGTAGTCCTTCTGCCAACGCTCTGTCTGACTATACTCTTTCTCTCTTCTACTTTCTCGCGCTGCGCCTGTTCGACTACCGTTCGCGATGATTTAAAATTTCTCTCAAGTATCGCAGATCGATCGCGTCTGCGTGGAAGATTTTTTTTTTTTTTTCAACTATACATTATTTCTCTAATTCTTTACATTTATATTTCAACGCGTTCGTAAAATGCGGAATAAAAAAAATTGCAAGCCATTTGCTTTGGCGTGGCTAAAGAATTTTAACATTATGAACAAGTTGAAATTCTTCGTCATTTAAAAGTGAAATTTATGAAAATCAAATAAATACACGTAAAATTCGGTCATCCGTCTAGCAAGTGACACACACATGTCCGGTATACTTTTTTGTCTGTAGACGATGACACAAAAGGTTTTGCAAGTGTTCGCAATTCGGTATTTATACATATTTAAATGATTTGTTGCCAATAACGGCGCACGTTGAGGAGCATGATGTACAGGCAAAGCTGTTTTTCAATTAATCGGTATCAATTCGGGGAAAGAAAATATATAAAAATACACAAAAGTCGTGATATCGAATGTTCAAACGATTTAAAAGCAACGCTTACGCTTTTATATTGTAGTTGCTATTTTTATTGTTGACACATCGATATAAAAGTATAAAACACATATAAAAATATAAGCGACGCCATCGAAGCGTTGGACATTCATGACAGTTTAACGAAAGCGACGAAGTTAGACGATTTCTAATAAAATTTTGCTGTCTATATGTGTTTTTTTGGGAGATTTTTCTTTGATGTTTCTCTCTCTCTCTTCTCTCCCCTCATTTCTTCTTCTCTCCTCTCCTCTCCTTATTTCTTACAATGGCTGAAAATGGCCCTCGCGTTTCGAAATGTGTGTCATGGAAATAACGTAACATAAATAATGTAATTCTTGACGTTGTGTTTCTTCCTTTCTGTCACCGTGCTGTCACACCACGGGATATCACTTATTTAGATTGTAAACATGAAAACGTCACGGACAGTATATGAGGAATAAAGCAAAAGAGACAAAGATCTCCCCCGCTATTTTTATATTTCGCACAAGTAAGTTAAAGCTGATAAATATAGAGATACGAAGCTTCTTCGCAATTTGTTTTGCCGAGCCGTTTGATCAAATGTGTTTCTTGGAAGTTAAAAACTAAAACTATATACTATATACATCGCTGAAATTTTTCCAACTCCGGTTTCTCGCTGTACAAGTATTTCGTAGTGCAGTCGCAATCACGCTTTTAGGTCGACGGCACCACCTTCGCGTGTGTTGTCCGTGCATTCGATTTAGGACAGGATTTAAAGTGCACTCTATCATAGTCCCTACGTGCGCAATAAATCCGTTTGCATTTGTGTCATGAATTCCCCCTCTCTCCCTTCCTCTCTCTGTTTCTCTTTTCCTCTCTCTCTGTCTCTCTCTCGTTCTCTTTCCCGTCTCGCTCTCTTTTTTGGTTTTGCCCTCGCTGTACCGTGACCAGGACTGTCAACGCGAAATATTGTCGACGGTGCACCATACAGCGTTTGCGCGCGCCGCTTCCCTTCGCCTGATAATTTTGAAGAATGATCCTTCGGACCAACAAAGGCCGCGATAAACTTACGCAAATGACGGCGAAAAATCGCGGGGATTCTCGTCGATGCTCTCACGTCGGATCGTCGACGACGACAACGCATGGCTTTATATTTCTTTGTTTGTTTATTTATTTATTTATTTGTTTTTTCAATTTTCAACGAGTATCGGACGAGGATGAGCGCGCGGGGGTGGAAAGTTTTTTTTCACATCGACGTTTGACCGAGCCGTTTCGTCCTTGCCGCGACACTTCCGGATAAAGCGCGACACTTCCGGCGTGTTGAACGAACTCAGGTTTCTATGGAAATGCGAACGAAACGGTCGAAACCTGCTGACGCGCCGGCACTTCCGGAAACTTCGTCATCCGACGTCATTTTGCGACGATGAATCCATTGATTGAAGTTCGTCCGGCCGGTTTTTGTATAATATACAATTTGATTTTCGACAACGCATATATTGACGTCGTTTCAATAAAAACAAAATACTTGTCAACAAAAGCGAATTTTACAAAAAAAAAATCAGTTTTATTATTCTATTCTTCTCTTTGTTCAAAAACCGAAAGAGTGAAAGTTTATATTAAATTTTAAATTTATTATTCATTTTTTTTTTTTACAAAACATACTTGCTTTTTTTTTTCAAAGGACATCTCATCACAGTCTTCAAATTAAAATCGTAATTATAATGACATTCTGTGCAACGCCTTTGAGCAAAAAAATCGCGCCTTTAAGGGGGAAGAAAAGTGTCATCGTCGGTGAATCGTCTATGTTTGACGGTGTGCGATTTGAGGCGATCGAGATATATTAATAGTATTCAAATTTATGATTCATACCTGACGCGATCGCGCTCCCGAATGAAATTTACATTCGAATTAACGGCCGTGTTGTGCCGTATTCAATTTGCAGCTCGTCGCGGCGCCGCAGCGGTCGCTCGATCCTCCTCTCCAAGACGGTTCGTTCCGATACCTTCTTTTGTTTCTTGATTGATTGCTGAATATAGATTGCCGCGCGTTCAGACAGTCGATCGAATAAATTGTTAACCGATAAGCATATAGACGAAACGCATTATTGAGCGCCGGCGAACACGGAAATCGTTTGTAACGTAATATTGTTTAGAAACGCGCGGGGATATATTGAATGCGCAAACTGTTGGGGAACAATCGAAACGGCGTGTTTATTTTGCAGCGTAATTTCTTTCGAGTTTTTTTATAAAAGCTACGAGCATCAAACGTCAATACTAAGCGTCGAATGTGTTTGTAATCGCGTTACCTCTCGGTCGCTTCCAATTGTGACACACGCGCGTGCGATTCGGCGACTTTGATAAAATACTCGACAAGTAAAATTCCGAAAAAAAATCAAGTGAAAAATAGATGCAAATTAAAATTAACAGAGGTTTGACGAGACAATACAAAAAGAAAGAGAGAGAGAGATAAAAAGAAAGAATGACACTTGTCAAACCTCACATTTCTGCGTTTTAACACTCAATTGCGACCGAGGGAGATAGATTATTTCACCGCCGTTAAATTATATGGAGCGTTTAATCAGGTTACTACCAACCGCGCGCGATATAAAAATTTAGAAGCGTCGAGGAAGATAGGACGCCGGATGAGAACGAGAGGAGAATCGATTTCCGGCCGGAGAAGAGAGAGATTCGCTCTGAAAAAGAGAGAGAGAGAGAGCTCGTTTATGGAGAGAGTTTTAATGTTCGCTTGGTGCGGACCAATTTCCGAAATTCGTGAATGCGTTTATGCTCGCAAAAACATCCGACGTCGTTGCGCCCGCCGTCGTAAAACAAGACGAGAAAACGCGTCTATGTCTTCTCATTTAAAACCGAGGTTTCGTCAAATCGGTTAAAACTGTATCGCCGCGTATAATTCGCGTGAGTGTTATACGCCCCCGTTGGCGTCGTATAAATGTTGGTCGGGCGATTCTTACATCCGCTTATAAGCTTTTACGTCTCGGGTCGGCGCGTTATGAAATTTTAGTCCTCTACGGGGGGGGAGGTGCTCGAGTGTATGTTCGCGCGTATACACGCTCCGGAAAAACTTGATTTTAAAGAAATGTGTCGCGCGCGTCGATTAACGCTATATATGTACGAAAAAAAAAAAAAAAAAAAAAAGAAAAACCGAGGAATGGGACATATTTACGAGGTAAAGGTAAAACGACACGGAGAGGATAAATAAAAACTTTGACACGGTGTGTGTGTTTCGCCGGGAGTAAAGAATGATTGTTAAACCCCCC